ATTTTGTTTAATATATGAACCTAAATTTTATAATTTATTAAATTTTTACCTAAATCAGAAGATAGTAAATACAGAATATGCGGTCATATTCAATAAGACATGTTTCATATCCACAACATATGAAGTTGATTGATACAAGCCACAGCATCACTCCCATCTTCACGTTATAAGCTATATATACTGTCCCTTCAAAGTCGTAAACTATGTTGCTTCCATCAACTCGCAATTATGAACTATGTTGCTTCTTTCAACTCGCAGTTGCAAACTATGTGGCCACTATGCTGTAAACTATATTGATCACCATGATATTGATCCTGGGGACCTGAAACATTGATCACTGACCAACGATCACTTCAAGACGTGTTGGTCATCACAAGTGGCTTTAAGACTTGTGGTGTTTCACCACAGGCCTCGTCAACAAAACACTAGGTAAAATGGACCTTTTTACACTACTCTTGCGAGTTCCGTGTGCTCCTGGGAGTTCCGTGTGCTCCTGGGAGTTCCGTGTGTGCTCCTGGGAGTTCCGTGTGCTCCTGGGAGTTCCGTGTGTGCTCCTGGGAGTTCCGTGTGTGCTCCTGGGAGTTCCGTGTGTGCTCCTGGGAGTTCCGTGTGCTCCTGAGAGTTCCGTGTGCTCCTGGGAGTTCCGTGTGCTCCTGCGAGTTCCGTGTGCTCCTGCGAGTTCCGTGTGCTCCTGGGAGTTCCGTGTGTTCTCCTGGGAGTTCCGTGTGCTCCTGGGAGTTCCGTGTGCTCCTGGGAGTTCCGTGTGCTCCTGAGAGTTCCGTGTGCTCCTGTGAGTTCCGTGTGCTCCTGGGAGTTCCGTGTGCTCCTGGGAGTCATTTAAGCTGAGATAAAGCCAACGGTATTTCTACACCAGCGACGACTATCGCTATTTAATAATGTTATATATTAAGCTCTTTTGACCGTGGTTAGTTACGTCAGTTACGTCTAGTTAAGGATAGTTACGTCAGGAAGCGCGCGAACCACTATGTACCAACTGCTGGACTGTAATCAGTGGGTATATACACACCAACTTGTAACGAGTCGCCGACAAGGACTAGGTGGCCTGTATCATCTGTATGAGTACACGCACATACACAGAGTGTATACTGGAGTGTATACACCCCCAGACGCCGCGTACACCGCTGTTGCCTATCCTGCTCCACCCAGGGAGCGGGGATCAGGCCTCAAAACCCGAACGGGACAGAATGCTCGAAAACACCATTCGAATGCTCGAAACGTTAGCCAATAACTCGTTGGCCAGTTCCTCGTTGGCTATAAGCGCTCGTTGCTTAAGTGATCATATATAATATTTACATCCTGATCTGATACCCACTTGACCAGGGCCCAGATTCACGAAGCAGCTACGCAAGTACTTACGAACGTGTACATCTTTCCGCAATCTTTGGCGGCTTTATTTACAATTATTAAACGGTTAATGAGCTCCGAAGCACCAGGAGGCTGTTTATAACAATAACAACAGTTGATTGGGAAGTTTTCATGCTTGTAAACTGTTTAATCAATGTAACCAAAGCTGTCAAAGATTGAGGAAAAATGTACACGTTCGTAAGTACTTGCGTAACTGCTTCGTGAATCTGGCCCCAGCTTATTGGGTTACTGCTGCCCGACATCATTCAAGTTTAGCAATTTGTTCTCACTATTAAACCAGCAACTGACTTTCTCAGCGTGATTATTTGAATATATCTCCTTCACTCTATTATCACAGTGTATCTCCTGGTACATATTATTATTGCAATAGTCTTGAGCCTGTTATACTGGAATATATCTCCTCCTGGGGTTCATTATACTCTAATATCGCCCTTTATTAGATACTAATTGCACATAATACTTCATATCATACCTTCGTATGTACCTTCATAATCATAATATATATATATATATATATATATATATATATATATATATATATATATATATATATATATATATATATATATATATATATATATATATATAGTATATTTTGGTAGCAGTCTTTCTTGTAAACATATGTTGTTGAATATGACCGAAAAGGTAAGATTAATAATTCTAACCCGAATTTTCTCAATATTTCTTATGTTTTTCTTCACTGTTGGTGGTAATAAAAATAACAATTTCTAAGGTAATTTTTATTGCCTTAGAATTGAATTACGCTTAGAATTGTTATTTTGATTACCACCAACAGTGAAGAAAAACTTAAGAAATATTGAGAAAATTCGGGTTAGAATTATAAATCTTACCTTTTCGGTCATATATTATATATATATATATATATATATATATATATATATATATATATATATATATATATATATATATATATATATATATATATATATATATATATATATATATATATATATATATATAATTTCCATCTTTTAACTGATTTCAAAGGCTGATTAAAACACTGGGATTTGTTCATTCACATTATTTATTTTTATTTCAAAACTAACAATTCGTGTATTCTCTTATTCTCTATCGTAGGAGTAATTTTTTTTAAAAGGTCTTTGTATGATACAATTTAAATCTCGTCTTAGCACCATGCGAACACGTCTCTTGACTAGCTTGTCCTCGGAACCACCGAGGAGAAGAATAAAAAACAATAATAATTATAATAATATTAATAATAATAATAAAGGAAATAATGATGATACCACAGTATTACAGAGCTAAAACTCCCGTTTTTAACCAGGCATATTTTTTTGTCTTATTCAGAAATATTCCTTTTTAATGTCGAAAAAATGTAAAGCAGAAAATGAATGGGAGTCGAACTCATTTTAGGAAGGCATCAACAAAAGTGCGTTTTATTTAGTAATGTTAACATTTCAAGACCAGAGAGTTCGAATCTTGTCAAAAAACCCTTATTGTGGCGTTGTTTGTTTCTTCAAAAATGTTAACTCTGAACTGAAAATGAGCTAAGAAGATGAACTCAGATGTTTATGAACTCTCGCTGCACTCTAGGTTGCTGCTGCAACCCAAGTTACTGCTTGAAACTTTATATATATTATTTTGACACCTTCAGGCGCTAAGTTAGATCATGTTTCCTTCTACAGACATTCTGCTCCGGAACTTTGGTCTCAAAATATTGTCGAACCCGCATTTTTAGGCGTCAGAAAACAGGTGGATGAAGCGTTTGTGTAGTGATATCTCAACACCTGAGTTGGAAGTTATTGCCAAGTATTGTACACCCTTAACCCTGAAACTGCTCCAGTCGCCATATACATACATACATATATATGTATATATATATATATATATATATATATATATATATATATATATATATATATATATATATATATATATATATATATATATATATATATATATATATAAAGTTTGTGAGGGTACCACCTCTGGTGCCAATGTGGGGACCCATAGCCTCGGAGAAGAAAATAAAAAGTATTCAGAGGAGACCTTGTGGTTTCTCACTGAACACTAATATTATCTTCTCCTACTCCTTCTCCTTCTCCTTCTCCTATGATATATATATATATATATATATATATATATATATATATATATATATATATATATATATATATATATATATATATATATATATATATATAAAATATTGTTTTTCATCCACACTTAGCTGAAGGACGTTTCGAAAAGCTTAGCAGTTGAAGGGTTAAGATTCACTAAGTGATAAATATATTATGACTCGATTACAGTCCTTTTTCCTTTATAAGAACCGGGAGTGATGATCCAGAGATGAAGCCTGAGGAAGAGAACCCCATGGTAACAGTCTATGAGGTGTGATACTTGAAGAATGAAGGGGAGAAGAACCACAGGGAAACAGGTTTTACATTGAGTTAGGCGTCAAGCCAGAGGGGGAGACAACATATGTAAACAGTTTACAGCGGGTGTGAGCCTTAAAGTCTAAAGAGAAGGAGCATATTATATCAGTTTACAAAAGAGGGTTCTCCCTTACATTGAAGAAGGCGTTGTTTACAGGAGATACATACAACGCCTATTTACAAATTAGGAGGAATTCTATTCATGCTCAGATGACAAGGTTTTACAAAGTACAAAGTCTTAGATTTTTCTTCCGTACATAATGAGGTCGAGTTACATAATTCCAATAAGGAAACTTTAATATTACAGAACAAACAGTATATAATTACAATGATTACTTGTTTTGCTGTTATTATGAACTTCTCTTAAGTAAATAATGTACTGTAATCTTGTGTAAACTCAATTATAAATGCACAAACATTGATAAATCAGGTTTTTCATTTTAAATTTAAATTTGAATACAAATTATTAATATTAAATTTCATTGCTGATACAGACAGCCCAAACAATATTTGTTTACCCATATAAATAAATAAAAAACTTTTAACAATTGTGATTTTAATCCACAGGAAAACATGTATCAATATTCGTAATTATTATGTAATTTACAGATGTCACAGTTCACTGTATAATTCAAACCAAGAATTTAAAAACAAAAAAATTGTCGATTGTAAAATCGTGAATAATGCTGTAAAGGCTAATATAGTGTGTTGCAGAGTGTTGTCTTGATCTCAAGGAGGTGCTTAAAGATTCCGAGTAAGGAAGAGTCTGAAGAAGCAGGCGAATATACCTCGAAGGGCAAAATGTGTTTAATGCAATATTGAATCCACATAATCAACACGTACGGCAATGATCCTTCGTTGATTCAACGTGAATGGAATGAAACAGTTTCTCTCGCTTTTTAACGACGTCGTTCTCAAACGACACACATACACTCATATATATATATATATATATATATATATATATATATATATATATATATATATATATATATATATATATAATATATATATATATATATATATATATATTTATATATATATAGATATATATATATATATATATATATATATATATATATATATATATAGATATATATATATATATATATATATATATATATATATATATATATATATATATATATATATATATATATATATATATATATATATATATATATATATATATATATATATATATATACCTGCTTCTTCCTCCTCAACGCAATCTCATTTCCAGCCTGGATTAAATTCAGTCCAAACAGCAGATTAAAGTTTGCAGATTAAACGTGAAGTTCTGTGTACGTGAACTTTGCGCAAGACTCTTGCGAGTTTTAAACCGATATCACACGTATCATCCGAGAGGCCAAGTAAAGCTGTTTCGTTCGTGTAGACGAATGAAAGGCTGGCGTGACGCAACGAGTCTCGAGGGAGGAGAAAACATATATATATCAGTTTTCGGATATAAACTGCGTTTCGTGTGATATATTTAGACCTGGGCCACTTTGACTTATATTATACTGTTTGCATGTATAATATTTGTAATATATGGCGTTCAGGTATGAGTGATGTGCTGAGAACAAGATCACTTCTCGAAAGCTGTAATCCCTAAGAAATCGTGTAGGAGAGAAACAGGCAGACGCAACGGACAGAATAGAAACAGGTAGATACAACGGTATATAAGACGAGCAAGTCTAGGCAAGGGAACAGGAGACAAACAGGTAGATGTAATGATACATTAGTTGAGCAGTTAGAAGCAAGAAGTCCTTGTTTACGTGTGTGTGTAGCTGGAGGCAACGGGCCGTGAGTTCAACGGATAGAAGCAAAGAGGCACAAATTAATAGGAAGACCTGAAGGAAGTCGGCTTGTTGGGTAAAAAAGAGTTTGGCCAACTTGGGAATAGAAGATTTCATAACTTTTCAATTGCAAAATACAATTTAAAACAATGAAAAATCCATAAAAACTGTCAGTTTATCTAAAAAAAAGAAACAGAGAGAGAGAGAGAGAGAGAGAGAGAGAGAGAGAGAGAGAGAGAGAGAGAGAGAGAGAGAGAGAGAGAGAGAGAGAGAGAGAGAGAGAGAGAGAGAGAGAGAGAGAGAAAGAGAGCAAGTGAGAAAGTTGGGGAAAAATCAAATCAAGTCTTTCTTTCTCTGATCAAAGACACAAGCAACTGACCCAGAGGAAGAGATGATAGATAAATGGCGTGTTGTACATAACTCACTTTCTTTCACGTTTAAGGCTTTCTTAAGGCATGTTTAAGACTTGTTTAAAACTTGTTTAAGGCTCCAACAGCCAGCCAATCACGCACTAGAAGTTATTCATTAATGATCATACTCATTCAAGTAATAATACTAATTGGACAAAATAAATCTGTTTGCAATATTATTCATTATACATTGTATGTTTGTAAAATAGAAAATTTAGAGATAATTTGTGTTTCAGAACCACATTTTTGTCTCTTCCTTCGATTATCTGAATAAAAGTTATAAAATATTGTACTAAATATACTCGTGAGACGACTTTGAAATATTAATTATATATATATGCTGTTTGTAATAGTTAAGATGGCTGTAGATTATTCGAACGAAAAGGGAGATTTAATGTATTGAAGAATTGAAAAGATTTGGCTCTATGGTTGAAGGATGAAGTTCCCCTTTAGTTAAAATGGAACTAAAGGGAACATTCCCTTTAGTCATTTGATGCATCACGTTAGTGTGATCTCTGTGTATGATTTCCCTTTAGTTTTTTGTTTTCAGGAAAAAGAAATGAATGTAATTGGTTAAGCGCGGTACTATGTAAGATCGTATTGAGTAGAAAACGGGTAGAGAACGCAAGCTTGGCTAGTGATGTGACGGAGGCCGCTCGTGGAGGGGGTTACTATGATAAAACAGAAATGGTTTGGTGAATGGAACCTGGCGTAGGATCTCCCAGCGTATAACAAACGCCCGGGGTACGGGCCTTATACACACACACACACACACCCTGGAGACGCTTCGCCAGTCTCCACCACCATTTTGTGTAAATATGGATCCTACCTTAAAATAAGACTCGATATTCCGGGTCCTGTAAGACACGTAATTTATATCGTGCAGAATCCATATTTTCGTGGGTCTTTGTACCCCACGAAAAGCCGCCACTCCTGGCTTGCCTGGCTTGTGACCTCTCGATCATTCCCAATACGATCATTTGTTGGTCTGTAACTACAGCGATGCACTTATGCTACTTGTACTACAGTGGGCTACTTACAAATAACTCTCATCATAAAATTGACTCTCTTTCAGCACGTGTGTGGAATTATATAAATCTGTTAAGAAAATATGACGTAAAAGAATATTTACATATATACTATATAATATATTTATATCTTTTTTCTATAATTCTTTCAAAAAATGGCAGGACTATAAGGCATGTTGCACTTGCTTACCCATACACAGAAGTTCACGTAGGTTTGTACATGAGAGAACTCATCATGGTATGAGACAAAATTAGAGCGTTTTTGCATGACATCAGTTGAAGGCTTTAGTGGGGGGCACAGAACGGAAGCCAAATTTGGACGTAGTTTCCCTCCTCAATCCTAAATCCCGTTTTCTGTGGTAGTAGCAACGCGGGAAGGTGACGTCACAGCCTCACCTTCGGTGCGCTTTCGAAGTTAATTAAATATTTGTAATATTTTACCCATTTTTAAATATTATAATAATCACATTATAATATTACATATATATATTGCAATATCCACCTTTAGTTACTATCACTTTTTTCTTTTGGCGTCATTTTCATCTGGATTTTAAGGCCAATTGTCACCATAATTTCAGGTCATGGCTGAAATTTCAGATTTCTGCCGAAATCGGGAAGCGAGTGAAGCCTCCTCCCACTCTCCCATACATCTCCCAGGAGACCAGGGCGTGATGGGAGGCCTCTCTAGTAACCAGGACACGTATAAGTGCGTGTCAGGGCTTCCTATGCGGTCTAGGATGAGGATGTTGTGTGGCTCTTTGCGGTCAATGTACGTAAGAAAGTGTGGGGGGGGGGGTATGACCCCACCGGACCCCATTTCAGTGGGGTCCTGGAGTGTTGAGGGGTCCTCCATGCGGTTAAATCAGTCATGAGAGAGAGCTGTGGATTAGGGCCGCCTCTCAGGGCACACACAGACACCTCGGGATGGCCTGAAACACCCATTATGTAAACAGTTTTCGTCGTCCCGCCAACGAAGTCTTAAAACAGCTTCGTCGCCACATTGGCTTGGGACCCGAGGCTGTAGCTCGACTTCGGAGGCGCGGCAGCTCACGCAGAGATGACGGCCGCGGGGCGCGACGACGCACCGCTGTCACCCGTGTCCACCTCCATCGGCGACGCGCCCAACGACGACGTCGACGACGTCGACTGGATCGTCACTTCGCAGGAGATCTTTTCTCCCTCCTTCTCTCCCGGTTCCTCCTCCTCTTCCTCCTCGTCTTCTTCCTCGACGTCGATGTATTCGTCTTCGTCGTCGTCGTCGTCCGGGGCTCGGAGGTCGTTGCGGCCTTCGGTCGTGCCGTTCATCTCCACGGGGTCCTTGCCTGAGGGAGGTGGGGGGATCATACCCCCCTCCTCCTCCTCGTCCCCCCGCCGTGGGGGGCGCGACGTGTACCGCTTAGGACTGCCATCCAGGATGGTCGGGCCGTCCGACTCGTGCTTCTTCATGTGTCGGTCGAGGTTGGTCTGCTGGCCGAAGGCTCGTTCACACAGCCGACACTTGTACGGCTTCTCCTTGTTGTGGATGTTGCGCACGTGCCGCTGCAGGTTGGACGAGATGCTGAACGAGCGCTCGCAGAACTTGCACTTGTAGGGCTGTTCGCCCGTGTGCGTGCGCAGGTGTCTCGTCAGGTTGGCCGAGCGCGGGAAGACCTTGCCGCAGAACTTGCACGAGTAGCGCTCGCGGGGCTTGACCGCCGACATGCTGGGCAGCACGGACGACACGACGCCGTGGACCTCGGCGTGCGACGGCGCGCCCTTTGGTATCCGGTCGCCGACCACCTGGTACAGTGCCGGATGGCCCTGTGGGCCAGGCGGGGGCCCTCTGTATCCGGGCATCATGTGGGGGGAGGACCCAGGCGAGGGGCCCATGTGGTAAGGGTTGTGAGGGATGCCAATGACCGGATAGGGCGGCCGGACGGACGAGGCTGGAGGTAGAGGCCGGCACTCGCTGGAGTACACCGGCACCGGGTGATGCAGCCGCTGGTGAACCGGTTGTGGGTACACCACCGCAGGCGGGTTGCGCGAGGTGACCGCACTCGCGACGGGCACCAGCTGCAGGCTCGCGCTCTTGGCCACCTGGTCGCCCTCGACCGACGACGACGGGTGGGAGTGAGTGTGTTGGGACCGGAAGTCGTGCATGGACGACACGTACTTAGGGGAAGGCACTCTCCGTGGCGACACGTACGTGGGAGAAGGCACTCTCCGTGGCGACACGTACGTCGGTGAAGGCACTCTACGCGGCACGGAAGGCGGGGTATGGCGCTCCACGATGTTCATATTTTCGTCCTCGACCGGGTGTCGCTTCTTGACCCGAAGGTCAAGCGGCTGGTCTGACTCAGAGAGGTCGAGAGGTCGCGACGCGGGAGACATACGTGGCTCTCGATTGTGGGTAGAGAGGTCAAAGGGCATGTCAGAGGCGGGCAAAGGGGCATCGGGAGGCCATGGCATCGAATGAGTATCAGGAAGTTCGGGGACGGGGTACGAAGTGCGTGCTTCCGGGCACACTGCCGCTTGCTTTGGAGAGCTAAGGGACCCGTGGACCCCAAAGGGGCGGAATGTGGGCGGCAGGGCCCTGGGGGGCGGGCCTGACCCCTCATATTGTACCAGAGAGGGGTGAGGGGAGCGTGATCGAGGTATCCCCGGGGGCGAGGGCTGGGTGAGGGCCGCAGCCAGATGGGTTCTGGGTGGCACCCCAAGGTAGCGGGGACCTGGGATCGACGGGCGGCTGGTGTACCCGCCTGTCACCTGCGACGAGTGGACGGCCGCCATGTGGTAGTGGGCGTAACCAGGGGCAGGGGTAAATGGGCGTGGGGCAGGGGGGCCAGGACGGGAAGGCGAGGCGGCAGGCATGGCACAGACTGGGGTGGCCCGCGGCACCAACATCAGGCACCCACCGGGGGAATCAACCCTGCCTGTAGGGGGAGAAGGAGAAGACAAATTAAGCATCAATTCGTAATTTTTTTTAGGAAGTTGGATCATGCACTTACACTCTCAGAGTCCTTGTGTGAAAACACTCAAACTTAACCTACTAAAACACACAAAAAATATTCAAACAGCATTTTTTTTTAAATTTGCCCAGCAATATACATCTAAAACATTAAACCATAGACATATGAAATATAACAGAAGATCATATAGCTTAATTATTTTTGATGCAGCTCAGGAGCATGTGACAAATTACATATATTTACAAATAAACACAATAATCCATCACGTAAGCATGTAATGTAGAGGTATTTAAGGCTGTGAAATATTCACAAGACCTACAGGAGTCGACAGTGACCATTCAGCTTCAGCCGCCAGTGGAGAGTGACACGTACGAATGTCTAGCATGATGACAAGGAAGTCTTTATACAGATCATGTTGACATAAGATCCTCAAAGTGGTTCTCAAGGTTCTGGACAGGTAACTAGTAGAGAGAGAGAAGGTGCAGGTGCAGGAAGCTGTCTTTGAAGTCCAGTTCTTATGTGTGCAAACTCTCATGAGGAAGGAGCCTTGCTGTCTGTCTAACTCATGAGGAGGGGGCCTTTCTGTCTGTCTAACTCATGAAGAGGGGGCCCTTGCTGTCTGTATACCTCATAAAACTATCTTCTCACCCTCTACCATGCTTCTTATTTGCCATCTGTATTACCAGCCTGCCTAGCTACATCGATTCTTATTCATGTGCCATGTCTCCTATTCACCTTGCCTCCTCTCCATAACCCTGCCTCCTATTAACCTTCCCTACGTCCTGTAAACCTGCTCAGACTCCTATCTGCCCCCTGCCTCCAGTCCTCCTCCACCTCCTAATTCCTGTCAACGAGCCTGCGTCTCACCCAACACAATCCAAGTGCAATGAATTCCCTGTCTCTCGTCTTGCATTCATGTCGTGTGCGATTTCCCCTGTTCTTGGATTCTCTCTCTCTCCTTAGTCATGCTTCCTTGACTTGGCTTTCCCCGCTAGTGCACGTCTTTCCGCCCTAGCACCTCTATACAATCCTCCCGGATACTGCGCTCAATCTTTGGTCAATTCGTCTTTATATCTCACTACTCACTTGTTCCTTGTGATCCTTCTTTCTGCCTGATCTCCGAGTCACTTTAAGAAACTATTTTCTTCTTGTCTCACTAAAATGTTTAGTTGTTTTGTATTTTTTTGTTAATTCTCGCTCATTGTATAGTATTCACGATTTATTGGTCATTTTTTGTATAAATATTCCCTTGTGGGGGGTTTACCTTACCTTGAGGTACTTCCGGGGCTTAGCGTCCCCGCGGCCCGGTCGTCGACCAGGCCTCCTGCTTTTCATTACAAGCACAGAGGAAAACTGTTAGTACCAGTACAATTTGTGTTTCCAGCCTATAGCCGAGCTTTCACTAGGCCTACAGACATTTGGAAAGACTGGTGAGCCTCAAGGATTGGTTAATCCCCGTCCATCATGCTAATTAGCCAGTCACGTTCTACGAGATAATCACTGCTGTGCATTCTAACAACTTGCTAATTACCACTCCCTTAGTCTTAAAAACATTTCAGGGGGGTTTATAATTACTTCCCACAGTCTAACTGTACACTTAACACTCTTGAAACTTTTCTTGTACCTTACGGACATCGCGAGAATCTATCGGAGTTTGATCAGACTTTACAGAAGCTCGTTAGAGTTCTCGAGAGCCTACTGAACTAAGAGCTTCAGCTAACTCTTTGCCTTAAAATAAAAGAAATTTAAAAGGTGGACAAATCAGCAATCAGGGCGAACGTAATCACGAAGGGTATAACGTCTGACCTTCACGCTACAACGACCAAAATAAAAAAAAAATATATAAAAAAAATGTGACTGAGTCTCTTTCGAAACAGGATTCGAAACTACACATGCGTTCAGAACGATCCCCCAGTTGGAAGCAGGATTCGAACGTATGGATGCGTTCGGGAGCGCACCCGAGTCTGGAGCTTATAGCGGCGTACAAGAAATAAATCGTAGAGTGGGAATACCTCACAGGACATAAACTTGACGGAGACGTGAGTTTGACGGTCGTCTGGTTCCATCTCCGCGATGCGGTTGACTGCGGCGGCGGCGTGACTTAAATACGCTCAAAACGCCTTCCAATAATCGGCATTTTGACATTTGTATTGCTTGTTTTTCAATTTTATCTGATCTCAAAGGAAGTTTTTTTTTCCGTTTTTTGGAGTGGGATGCTGGGAGGGAATGGTTTGAGTGTTTGGAGTGGGGTGCTGGGAGGGAATGGTTTGAGTGTTTGGGGTGGGGTGCTGGGAGGGAATGGTTTGAGTGTTTGGAGTGGGGTGCTGGGAGGGAATGGTTTGAGTGTTTGGGGTGGGGTGCTGGGAGGGAATGGTTTGAGTGTTTGGAGTGGGGTGCTGGGAGGGAATGGTTTGAGTGTTTGGAGTGGGGTGCTGGGAGGGAATGGTTTGAGTGTTTGGAGTGGGGTGCTGGGGGAGAATGGTTTGAGTGTTTGGGGTGGGGTGCTGGGAGGGAATGGTTTGAGTGTTTGGAGTGGGGTGCTGGGGAGAATGGTTTGAGTGTTTGGAGTGGGGTGCTGGGGGGAATGGTTTGAGTGTTTGGGGTGGGGTGCTGGGGAGAATGTTTGAGTGTTTGGGGTGGGGTGCTGGGAGGGAATGGTTTGAGTGTTTGGAGTGGGGTGCTGGGGAGAATGTTTGTGTGTTTGGGGTGGGGTGCTGGGGAGAATGTTTGAGTGTTTGGGGTGGGGTGCTGGGGAATGTTTGTGTGTTTGGAGTGGGGTGCTGGGGAGAATGTTTGTGTGTTTGGGGTGGGGTGCTGGGGAGAATGTTTGTGTGTTTGGAGTGGGGTGCTGGGGAGAATGTTTGTGTGTTTGAAGTGGGGTGCTGGGAGGGAATGTTTGAGTGTTTGGAGTGGGGTGCTGGGGAGAATGGTTTGAGTGTTTGAAGTGGTGTGCTGGGGAGAATGTTTGTGTGTTTGGAGTGGGGTGCTGGGAGGGAATGTTTGAGTGTTTGGGGTGGGGTGCTGGGGAATGTTTGTGTGTTTGGAGTGGGGTGCTGGGGAGAATGTTTGTGTGTTTGAAGTGGGGTGCTGGGGAGAATGTTTGTGTGTTTGGAGTGGGGTGCTGGGAGGGAATGTTTGAGTGTTTGGAGTGGGGTGCTGGGGAGAATGGTTTGAGTGTTTGAAGTGGTGTGCTGGGGAGAATGTTTGTGTGTTTGGAGTGGGGTGCTGGGGAGAATGTTTGTGTGTTTGGAGTGGGGTGCTGGGAGGGAATGTTTGTGTGTTTGGGGTGGGGTGCTGGGAAGAATGTTTGAGTGTTTGGAGTGGTGTGCTGGGGGGGAATGGTTTGAGTGTTTGGAGTGGGGTGCTAGGGAGAATGTTTGTGTGTTTGGAGTGGTGTGCTGGGGAGAATGTTTGTGTGTTTGGAGTGGTGTGCTGGGGAGAATGTTTGTGTGTTTGGAGTGGTGTGCTGGGGAGAATGTTTGTGTGTTTGGAGTGGTGTGCTGGGGAGAATGTTTGTGTGTTTAGAGTGGGGTGCTGGGGAGAATGTTTGTGTGTTTGGAGTGGTGTGCTGGGGAGAATGTTTGAGTGTTTGGAGTGGGGTGCTGGGGAGAATGTTTGAGTGTTTGGGGTGGGGTGCTGGGGAGAATGTTTGAGTGTTTGGAGTGGGGTGCTGGGGAGAATGTTTGAGTGTTTGGAGTGGGGTGCTGGGGAGAATGTTTGAGTGTTTGGAGTGGGGTGCTGGGAAGAATGTTTGAGTGTTTGGGGTGGGGTGCTGGGGAGAATGTTTGAGTGTTTGGAGTGGGGTGCTGGGGGGGAATGGTTTGAGTGTTTGGAGTTGGAGTTGTTTGGAGTTGGAGTTGTTTGGAGTGAGGTGCTGGTGAAGGTAACGGGGTGTTTGGAATGAGTTGAAAACCCCGGAGAGCTTAATATTATCGCTCACTTAACGCAATACTGTGAAACACGGAGTGAGACTTCCACAGACTTTAATATAACAGTGAAAATCTTGCGCTCTCTCTGTGTTTATCTTCATCAATTATCATCTTTTATTTTCCTTCTAACTCTCTCTCTTTTTTTTTTTTTTTACATGTAACACAATTTAGGTTTTTACGTTGCATGTATGACTCATTGTGTGTATATGCTTATACATTATGTATATTTGTATATAGGTGAATGTATTCACGCCTGTATATGTATGAATGGTATTATGCACGCGTACTATTCGTGTGGAAGCATTTTTTAGCATCCATTTCCCTGCCACTTGATGGACGGTCGGGGATTGAACGCCGACCTGCATGAAGCGAGACCGTCGCTCTACCGTCCAGCCCCCCAAGAGGTTGGGCACGTTGTTGCCAGAGGTGAAGTGGATTCTATATATGATCCGCTATATAAGGCCTAGATTCGTTAGCATTTGTATATATTATTTGCTTTGTTGATGCAATGAACAGATTCTAATATCTATATACGGTTGTATGATATAGCACACGTCAAATGATATATTTAACCAAGCAAATATCAATGAAAGACAATATATATAAATAAATAAATAAATAAATAAATATATATATATATATATATATATATATATATATATATATATATATATATATATATATATATATATATATATATATATATATATATATATATTTATTTATTGTGTCGAAAATCCATCATTTCGAATAAAGGAACTTGACTATCATGCATACATAACTAAGAAACATCTTTATAATATTTAATAAAAAAATCTCAGTGATCTGCTGGCATCCCATCACAACAACCTTCTCGATCAGCGACCCTTTTTGTTTACACAATGATCTTTTAAAAGTGAATTATTGTTCTTGCTGGTGTTTACGTAACTGAGCGGTTTACAATGGTTTGCGGCTTACTTGTGAAAACTTAACTCTACACAAAACACACTTTTTGTCTCTTCACGCGACCCGTTACTCGTTCCTGTAAGTCAAATAT